TTACATAAAGTCTATAGATAGAGAAACCATTTACACATAGACTTCAGATAGAGTAACCATTTACACATAGTTTATAGATAGAGAAACCATTTACACATAGTCTATAGATAGAGAAACTATTTACAAATAGTCTATAGATAGAGAAACTATTTACACATAGACTTTAGATAGAGAAACCATTTACACATAGTCTACAGATAGAGAAACCATTTACACATAGTCTATAGATAGAGAAACCATCTACACATAGTCTACAGATAGAGAAACCATTTACACATAGTCTACAGATAAAGAAACCATTTACACATAGTCTATAGATAGAGAAACCATTTACACATAGTCTATAGATAGAGAAACTATTTACAAATAGTCTATAGATAGAGAAACTATTTACACATAGACTTTAGATAGAGAAACCATTTACACATAGTCTACAGATAGAGAAACTATTTGCACATAGTCTATAGATAGAGAAACCATCTACACATAGTCTATAGATAGAGAAACCATCTACACATAGTCTATAGATAGAGAAACCATTTACACATAGGCTACAGAGAAACCATTACATACAGCGAAAAATGGGGTCAGTATGTCTAAAAAATGGGCGGAGTAGACGCCAACAGGCACAACAGTGTACACTGAGTTTCTAAAGAGGTGCCTGTGCTAGCAAACAAATACCAACAGACAGATAGACAGATAGATACATAAATAGATAGACAGACAGACAGACAGACAGAATGAACGAACGAACGAATGAACGAACAAACTTTATTTTCGAAGGGTTACAAATTGGGCACGCAGGCCCGTCTGACATTCGGCCCTTCTAAGCACTCGTTTTTCAGAGTACCAATGCCTGTTATCTAAAATGCATGTTATGGATATAAAAAAGAAATATGCATTATAGAATAATACATACATACAACATGTGTACACAATCGTACACTCACACATACGTATATATACTCTTACATTCTCATATATGTACATTTATATACAGACATACCTAATACATTCATACAGGCATCTACATACATGCACAAACAGAAAAGACACACACATACACATATTGACATACATGCACACACACATTCATTCCATACACACCTACACATGCATGCATGCATACACACACATACATAAAATCACATGTACAGACACCCACATACGCCCACAACCACACATTTACACTCACATGCATACATACATATATACATACACACACACATGCATACATACACACATCTATACAAACACCAACATCTTTACACACATACATACATACTTGCATACATATCTAAATACACACACATACACCCACATACTTACACTCACATGCATGCATACATATACATACATACACATGCATACACACATCTATACATACACCTACATCTTTACATACATACATACATACCTAAATAAACACACACACACAGACAGACAGACAGACAGACAGACAGATGGACGGACGGATGGACGGACGGACAGACAGACGGATGGACAGACAGACAGACAGACGGACGGGCAGACAGGCAGACCGACGGACAGACCGACCGACGGACGGACGGACCGACGGACGGACGGACAGACGGACCGACCGACAGACGTACAGACCGACCGACAGACGGACAGACAGACCGACAGACGGACAGACAAACCGACAGACGGACAGATAGACCGACAGACGGACAGACAGACCGACAGACGGACAGACAGACAGACAGACAAACCGACGGACAGACAAACCGACGGACGGACGGAAGGACGGACGGAAGGACGGACGGACGGACGGACGGACCGACGGACCGACGGACGGACCGACCGACCGACCGACCGACCGACCGACCGACAGACAGACAGACAGACAGACAGACAGACAGACAGACAGACAGACAGACAGAGAGAGAGAGAGAGATAGATAGATAGATAGATAGATAGATAGATAGATAGATAGATAGACAGCTTATAGAGAAGTATGTGGGTGTCTGTATATGTGATTGTATGTGTGTGTATGCAATCATGCATGTGTAGGTGTGTATGTATGGAATGTGTGTGTGCATCTATGTCTATGTATGTATGTGTGTGTGTTTTATGTTTGTGTATGTATGTAGATGCATGTATGTATGTATTATGTATGTCTGTATACGAGTGTGCATGTATGAGAAAGTAAGAGTATGTATACGTGTGTGTTTGAGCGTATAAGATGGTGTACACATGATGTGTGCATGCATTATTCCATAATGTATATTTCTTTATTACATCCATATCATGCATTATTGATAACAGGCATTGGTATTCTGAACAATGAGTGCTTAGAAGGGCCGAATGTCAGACAAGCCTGCGTGCCCAGTTTGTAACGTTTTGAAAATAAAGTTTGTTCATTTGTTCATCCTTTTTATGTATAGTTTATCGATAGACAAGCCATTTATACATACAGTTTACAGATATAGAAACCATTTACACATATTGTTTATAGAAAGAGAAACCATTTATGCATACACTCTATAGATAGAGAAACCATTTATGCATACACTCTATAGATAGAGAAACCATTTATGCATACACTCTATAGATAGAGAAACCATTTATACATGCACTCTATAGATAGAGAAGTCATTTATACATGCACTCTATAGATAAAGAAACCATTTATATATACACTCTATAGAAAAAGAAACCATTTATGCATACACTCTATAGATAGAGAAACCATTTATGCATACACTCTATAGATAGAGAAACCATTTATACATACACTCTATAGATAGAGAAACCATTTATGCATACACTCTATAGATAGAGAAACCATTTTTACATACACTCTATAGATAAAGAAACCATTTATATATACACTCTATAGAAAGAGAAACCATTTATGCGTACACTCTGTAGATAGAGAAACCATTTATGCATACACTCTATAGATAGAGAAACCATTTATGCATACACTCTATAGATAGAGAAACCATTTATACATACACTCTAAAGATAGAGAAACCATTTGTGCATACACTCTATAGATAGAGAAACCATTTTACATACACTCTATAGATAGAGAAGTCATTTATACATGCACTCTATAGATAAAGAAACCATTTATATATACACTCTATAGAAAGAGAAACCATTTATATATACACTCTATAGAAAGAGAAACCATTTATATATACACTTTATAGAAAGAGAAACCATTTATATATACACTCTATAGAAAGAGAAACCATTTATATATACACTCTATAGAAAGAGAAACCATTTATGCATACACTCTATAGATAGAGAAACCATTTATGCATACACTCTATAGATAGAGAAACCATTTATACATACACTCTAAAGATAGAGAAGTCATTTATACATGCACTCTATAGATAAAGAAACCATTTATATATACACTCTATAGAAAGAGAAACCATTTATGCATTCACTCTATAGACAAAGAAACCATTTATGCATACACTCTATAGATAGAGAAACCATTTATACATACAGTTTATAGAGAGAGAAGCCATATATTAAAATAACATAAAGATGGCATGGATTTAAAAAAATTAACAGTTGACAGATAAGAGAGAGTTGTAGATGAGACATGGCACTTAGACAGCAGGCTAACACTTTGTTAAAACAACAGTGGGGCACACATGCACTTTGTCTGTTGTCATACAGCCAAGAAACACATTGAAACTGTCATTACTTTTCTCTCTGTGACCCAGACCCATCCCGCCCCATCTCATCTCAAACTTTCATCTGTACTGAATCACATCAAACATTCCCCAAGCACCACAGTGCACTCAGAGTGCTATTCCCAAAGCAGGGTCAAAACATATGGGCCAACCTTTCAAAAACAAGCAGATAATGCAGTATCATGTTGCCAGACACAGCACACATAGACTTCCATTCTGCATTAGCCTGGGCCACTTAAAAACTATCAGTTCTCTTAACTTCCCAGGAAAAACAGGACTACTTAGAAACTATGCTCTCTCCTGTCCCTAAGTGAAGTTTGTAATAGCTGTATGACTGGGCATGTTTGTACAAAGCTGAAAATCTTTCTTTTGTAATATTGGCTTTTAGAACACAGTTTAATTGATTATAAGGGGACTTGCTTTCATTCCACATTAACTTTCCTGTCTTGTCAGTCTGATCTCTTCTCTAGAAATATATCTCTGTATCTGTATGTGCAAATATCTATTAACTATCACTAACCATATGGTTATCCAGTCTGTCTGTCTGTACACATGTATATCTGCGGATCTATTTGTTGTAGCTGTATTAGTATATCTGCCTTCCTGTCTACAAGTGTACCTGTCTGCCTAATCACCTGCACTTAATCACACCTAATCACAACCTTATTTCATGAGCAGCCTGACTGACAACCAGTAATCACAGCCTGACTGACAACCTATAATCACATCCTGGCTGGCAACCTATAATCACATCCTGACTGGCAACCTATAATCACAGCCTGACTGGCAACCAGTAATCACATCCTGACTGGCAACCTGTAATCACAGCCTGACTGACAACCTATAATCACATCCTGACTGGCAACCTGTAATCACAGTCTGACTGACAACCTATAATCACATCCTGACTGGCAACCTATAATCACAGCCTGACTGACAATCTATAATCACAGCCTGACTGACAACCTATAATCACATCCTGACTGGCAACTTGTAATCACAGTCTGACTGACAACCTATAATCACAGCCTGACTGATAACCTATAATCAAAGTCTGACTGACAACCTGCAATCACATCCTGACTGGCAACCTATAATCACAGTCTGACTGACAACCTATAATCACAGTCTGACTGACAACCTATAATCACATCCTGACTGGCAATCTGTAATCACATTTTATCAAGATATCAGATTCAGCTCATCAAGGAAATGTAATCGATCACTTCATTCGAAGGTTGGGCAGAGGAGCTGTCCAAAAAATCTGTCCCCAGTCAAAGATGTATTTCTTTACAGGTATCAGTGTTTACTTACAGATTTCATATAGTTGAGGAGACTGTTGCCATGCCTCCAGGTGTGCACCTTGTCACAAGGCAGACTGATGGTGTTGATTTCCTGGGCTTCAGAGAAGGCATGCAGGGCTCGTGCAAATAGTTCATAGGCATCATAGGCCAAGGCCGTCTCTGTCTGTGGACAGACATGGACAAGGTGAATATTCAACCACAAATGTTGCCAATTTGTTGCCAGACATGAACGAGTTAAGATCTTCAGCCACAAATGTTAGCAACTTGTTGACAGACATGGACAAGGTGAATATTCAACCATAAATGTTGGCAAATGTTGCCAGACATGCATGAGTTAGATCTTCAGCCACAAATATTAGCAACTTGTTGACAGGCGTGTACATGTAACTAACATCGGTTGAACGGAAAGACAGCTTGGAAACACAGTGGGAGAGCACATACCCAAATGGCTACACACACAGCTCAGGGACTTTTCAAGGGTGTCAAGACCAAACAAGAGGACATCATTTGTTTAATTGCAGACATGATTAATTGACAAGGACAGTGTATTTCGTGTGGTTTACCACGTAGCAAATAGGTGACTGAAGAAAAAGGCCGAAGCTTTAACAGTTACAATCAACAACCCCCTCCTTTTTAAACAGAAGGAATAAATAGTAAATCTGAAATTACCCTGGTAAATCATGTAACTAAGTAAACATCTGGAGACAAAACAAATGTGATACATCTAAAGAAACCATTCCCATTTCAGTTTGATTTATTTAGTTTTTGTGCTTTATTTTATGTTGTTTCAACTCTACAGTAACGCACCCGACGAGATGCAGCGATATATGCCTGGCAATAAATTGTACAATGTATTGTTTGTGTCAAATTACAAAATAAAAAAACCCCATGTTTTGAATATCTCTTGTTATCGTTAATTCTATTACTATCTTGCCCTTCTTGCTCCTTCAGTTACTCCAAACATCACTTGTTATATCTAGGGTATGGTTGACCTCAGGAACTCTGCCCAAGAAACGGATTCTAAAAACAGTTTCATGAGTCAAGATAGTTGGGAACCGCTGCTATACAGTAGTCTATACCCCTTAGTGGAGGATCAATGACCAAACCATTTATACTCTCTACAGCAATGTAGGCATAACTACCTGTCGGAGTAGGTTTAGATCAGGTGGACTCGGATATGGATCACAAGGTCGCAAGTTACATGTGCATGTCAAAGTTGGCAGAAAAAGACTAAACATGTCAGTTGGAGTAACATCAAAAGCAGGGACAACACACTCAAGCAGAAAATACACTCAAGCAGACAAACACACTCAAGCAGATAACACACTCAAGCAGACAAACATACTCAAGCAGACAAACATACTCAAGCAGACAACACACTCAAGCAGACAACACACTCAAGCAGAAAATACACTCAAGCAGACAAACATACTCAAGCAGACAACACATTCAAGCAGACAACATACTCAAGCAGACAACACACTCAAGCAGACAAACATACTCAAGCAGACAACACATTCAAGCAGACAAACACACTCAAGCAGACAACACATTCAAGCAGACAAACATACTCAAGCAGACAAACATACTCAAGCAGACAACACACTCAAGCAGACAACACACTCAAGCAGACAACATACTCAAGCAGACAACACACTCAAGCAGACAACATACTCAAGCAGACAACACACTCAAGCAGACAACACACTCAAGCAGACAAACATACTCAAGCAGACAACACACTCAAGCAGACAACACACTCAAGCAGACAACACACTCAAGCAGACAACACACTCAAGCAGACAACATACTCAAGCAGACAACATACTCAAGCAGACAACACACTTAAGCAGACACCACACTCAAGCAGACAAACATACTCAAGCAGACAACACATTCAAGCAGACAAACATACTCAAGCAGACAACACATTCAAGCAGACAAACATACTCAAGCAGACAACACATTCAAGCAGACAAACACACTCAAGCAGACAACACATTCAAGCAGACAAACATACTCAAGCAGACAAACATACTCAAGCAGACAAACATACTCAAGCAGACAAACACACTTAAGCAGACAAACATACTCAAGCAGACAAACATACTCAAGCAGACAAACATACTCAAGCAGACAAACATACTCAAGCAGACAAACACACTTAAGCAGACAAACATGCTCAAGCAGACAAACATGCTCAAGCAGACAAACATACTCAAGCAGACAAACATACTCAAGCAGATAACACACTCAAGCAGATAAACATACTCAAGCAGACAAACATACTCAAGCAGACAAACATACTCAAGCAGACAAACATACTCAAGCAGACAACACACTCAAGCAGACAAACATACTCAAGCAGACAAACATACTCAAGCAGACAAACATACTCAAGCAGACAAACATACTCAAGCAGACAAACATACCCAAGCAGACAACACACTCAAGCAGACAACACACTCAAGCAGATAACACACTGAAGCAGACAAACATACTCAAGCAGATAACATACTCAAGCAGACAAACACACTCAAGCAGATAACACACTCAAGCAGACAAACATACTCAAGCAGACAAACATACTCAAGCAGACAACACACTCAAGCAGATAACACACTCAAGCAGACAAACATACTCAAGCAGACAAACATACTCAAGCAGACAAACATACTCAAGCAGACAAACACACTCAAGCAGACAAACATACTCAAGCAGACAACACACTCAAGCAGACAACACACTTAAGCAGATAACACACTCAAGCAGACAACACACTCAAGCAGATAACACACTCAAGCAGACAACACACTCAAGTAGATAACACACTCAAGCAGACAACACACTCAAGCAAACAACACACTCAAGCAGATAAATCTGTGTTCACACATAGTACACATTTACACACACAAAATGCATGTTTACAAATAGAACGTATTAACACATCTAGCAAAAATACATATTCACACATAGAATATATTAACACATTTAGACAAAAATACATATTCACACACAGAAAATATTAACACATTTAGACAAAAATACATATTCACACATAGAACATATTAACACATTTAGACAAAAATACATATTCACACATAGAACATATTAACACATTTAGACAAAAATACATATTTACACATAGAACATATTAACACATTTAGACAAAAATACATTTCACACATAAAACATATAAACACATTTAGACAAAAATGCATGTTCACATACAGAAAATAATAATATGTTTAGACATAAATAAGCATTATCACATGGAACACAAAAACACAGCTACATACAAATAAACATTCACATATAGACTACACTGACACTCCTAGACATAGATACACATTTATGAATTATACAAACATAACCCTGGCTCATCTTGACTGTAACATCTTTTCTACACAAAATCAGTTACTGTAACAACATCCCCACCATAATCACTTACTGTAACAAGTAGCCAAACAAAATCAGACACTGTTAACAAGTAGCCACACAGAATCAATTACTGTAACAAGTAGCCACACAAAATCAGTTGCTGTAACAAGTAGCTACACAGAATCAATTACTGTAACAAGTAGCCACACACAATCAGTTTCTGTAACAAGTAGCCACAAAACAAAAAATCAGTTGCTGTAAAAAGTAGCCAAACAGAATAAATTACTGTAACAAGTAGCCATACAGAATCAATTACTGTAACAAGTAGCTACACAAAATCAATTACTGCAACAAGTAGCCACACAAAATCAGTTGCTGTAACAAGTAGCCACACAAAATCAGTTGCTGTAACAAGTAGCCACACAGAATCAATTATTGTAACAAGTAGCCACACAGAATCAATTACTGCAACAAGTAACCACACAAAATCAATTATTCTAATAAAAAGCCACAAATAATTAGTCACTGTAACAACATCACACAGAATAAGTTCCTGTAACAAGAACTTCCCACATAATCAATTACTGTAACTATTAGCCACACAGAATCAATTACTGTAACAACATTTCCACACATAATCAATTACTGTAACTATTAGCCACACAGAATCAATTACTGTAACAATATTTCCACACATAATCAATTACTGTAACTAGTAGTCACACAGAATCAATTACTGTAACAACATTTCCACACATAATCAATTACTGTAACTAGTAGCCACACAAAATCAGCTACTGCAACAACATTTCTACACAGAATCAATTACTCTAACAAGTAGCCAAGCAAAATCAGTTACTGCAACAACATTTCCACACATAATCAATTACTGTAATTAGTAGCCATGCAGAATCAATTACTGTAATAACATTTCCACAGATAAACAACTACTGTAACTTTTCCACAGATAATCTATTACTGTAACAACATTTCCACAGATAATCTATTACTGTAACAACATTTCCACAGATAATCAACTACTGTAACATTTCCACAGATAATCTATTACTGTAACATTTCCACAGATAATCAGTTACTGTAACAAGTAGCCACACAACAATCAGTTACTGTAACAAGTAGCCACACATAATTAATTACTCTAATAAAAAGCAAAAAAAAAATTAGTTACTGTAACAACATCACAAGCAGTCACAACTAAGTGCTTTATGTCTCAAACACTGCAGTACATTGAAGCAGACAAGAGGGCAACAATGAAGCACAAATCTTTCATGAAAATAGTCCATTGTGAGAACAACATTGAAAGCCAAATAGTTTTGTTGTTGTTGCAGGCAAGGTGTCTACATTTATCACAGAATATTTGCAAAGTTGAGAGTGCCAGGGAGAAGTTGAGAGTGCCAGGGAGAAGCTGAGAGTGCCAGGGAGAGATGTAACAAATTATGAGTTTTATTGTGGTATCTTGTCTACTAGTACAAGGTCAAAACTGACTGTAAACTGAAAAAAAAAACCCAGTTATCTGACTAAATCAAAACTGGTTCTCCATACCAAACACAAAAAAAGATGTCTTCTGGCATCTGTCATGTCACATGAAATAATGAGATTTATGTCCATTTGTCCAAACAAACACAAAACAAAAGCATAATGAACTGTAATGGTGATTCTCCCTAAGGCTCTCATAATATCAATCCTCAAGACAAACACAGAAAACTGGAGTACCTTGAAAGTAAACAATGCAATAAAATCATATAGTTATACACATATACACACACACACATACACACACACACTTGTGCACACACACATGTTTACAATTACACACACTCACAGGCACACACATGTACACATAAGTTTAGAAGCCAGAAACTTCTTGAGTCCTCTGTTTTATGTTGTCAGTGAAAGAAGAACCTTGGGCCACTGTTGTTAGTTTTGTGTCTTTCTTCCTATCCTCTGGCTGTGGAGAAACCATATTTTTGCTTCATCTTGCCTCTCTACCCCTGCGGTCTTCAACTGCCCAGATTACCTTGAGTTTCTGGTATTCTCCTGGTGAGTGTTGTTATATCTCAAGTCGTAACAAGCCCGCCCTCTTCTGTGTCAGAGAATCCTGGTATTATGGACTGTCTCATCCTGTATTCATGGTGTCGAGCAAATTTGATGTCTAAAAGTAAAGTCGGGAGATGTGAACCGGCGGCATTATACATGAATATGATGTCTGCTCCCTATGGCAAGGGGCACATGACAGTGTTGCCTAAGACAAAAGTTCTTGTAAAACATTACTAAAACAAAAGCTTTGAAACAAAAACAAAAATATATGTAAATATCAAAAACATTATTGAAATAAAATTGTACAACTGTAGAAATGAAACTACATTTATAGAAATGAAATTAAATATGAACAAAAGAATATAAACCTAAAGATATCTACACAGAAACTGCTGCAACAAAAAATGTCTAAGACATTGAGAAAATGAAGAAGGAAGCCATTTATAGAACATTTTAGGAGAAAATTACCATGATGTCTTGGGTGGCATTGTCAAAGCCCTGCCATCAGATTTGGGCCAAGCAGCCATTGTAGGGAAGGGATGAGGAAGCAACAAACATTAAATCTCTACACAAGCTAGTCTTTATCAGGTCTACGGACACGTCTGTGTCATGTGATGATTTCACTGAATATTAACATAACTAGCACTATACTAACTGTTAACACCGCCGTGGAAGAGATGGGACCTCACTACATAGTATTTACAGGGCAGTATCACTGTCATAACTTGCACAATCAACACCTGGTGTCCTCAACTGTTGTCATTATCAAGAGGTCAGGCGCCAGACAGGCAGCTTTCTGACCCTTGACCCAGTGCCTGCGTCTTCCAGGTCAACCCAGCAACAAGGGGATACTAGGAAGATAAACAGTAAGTGAAACTGGCTGCCATGATAGCAACACCAACCTCTGACATAATACTGACGGCAACACCAACATCTAACATAATACTGATGGCAACACCAACCTCTGACCTAATACTGACGTCAACACCAACCTCTGACATAATACTGATGGCAACACCAACCTCTGACATAATACTGACGGCAACACCAACCTCTGACATAATACTAACGTCAACACCAACCTCTGACATAATACTAACGGCAACACCAACTTCTGACATAATACTGACAGCAACACCAACCTCTGACATAATAGTGATGGCAACACCAACCTCTGACATAATACTGACAGCAACACCAACCTCTGACATAATACTGACAGCAACACTAACCTCTGACATAATACTGACGGCATGGGCATCATCAACCTTTGATGTAATACTGACATCATCATCTGACATAATACTGACAGCACCAACCTCTGACATAATACTGACGTCATCATCAACCTTTGTTGTAATACTGACAGCAACACCAACCTCTGACATAATAGTGATGGCAACACCAACCTCTGACATAATACTGACAGCAACACCAACCTCTGACATAATACTGACAGCAACACTAACCTCTGACATAATACTGACGGCATGGGCATCATCAACCTTTGATGTAATACTGACATCATCATCTGACATAATACTGACAGCACCAACCTCTGACATAATACTGACGTCATCATCAACCTTTGTTGTAATACTGACAGCAACACCAACCTCTGACATAATACTGACAGCATCCACAATCTCTGGCATAATACTGACAGCGTCCCCCCTTCAGTGTCGATGACTAAACAGGATCAAGCACGACATAAACATCAACGCTTGAAATGTTAGTCAGCAAACAATCAACTGGATGTGACATTCCAAACTGGGTCCAGAACTGAGTTGATTCATTGAATATCTCACAGTTTCAGATTAGAATAAAAGTGAATGTGTTTCTCATGTTTTTATCATGGCACTGAGTGCTCCACCTCAAGTTCTTGTCAGATTAAATCAAACTATTGCGCATTCGCTTACATCTATCTTTGTCTTTATTCTGTCCTGCTGCTGCTGCTACTAGTACTACTACTACTACTACTGCTACAGCTGCTGCTGTTGCTGCTGCTACTACTACTACTACTACTACTACTACTACTACTACTACTACTACGACTACTACTACTACTACAGCTGCTGCTGCAGCTGCTGCTACTAGTACTACTACTACTACAGCTGCTGCTGTTGCTGCTGCTGCTGCTGCTACTACTACTACTACTACTTCTACTACTACTACTACTACTACTACTACTACTACTACTACTACTACTACAGCTGCTGTTGCTTCTCCTACTACTCCGGATGTTTCTGCTGATCATGCTCATCTTGTTAGTGATGGCAATCATTTCTCATGAGCCGCAGCCATCCATTGTTCATGCACTGACAATTGTCCATGCTTGGCTCTCTCACAGTATGTATGCTAAGAAAACCAGCCTCACTGCCTCATGTTATAAATCCGGAGACAACCAGCACTGAACATACAGAGGACTACTCACCTCAATCTCCTTGTACTTCATCAGCGGAGAGTCGTAGCCTGCATTGGCTCGTAACAACCAATCAGATTTCACATTGACCACCTTCTTCCTGTCTGGGTCGATTAACCTCAGGGCGGTGATGTTGGCACCGCCGTACATGTAGTCTCCCAGGTCGATCAGTCCCAGGTCCTGCAGTAAGTAGTAGAACATACACGTATCATCATGATGTAAACAAACACATATGATGAAAATATGTATAAGCATACAGGAATGTTGAAAACTTGTATCACATCTTCAAAGGTATACATCTGTAGGACGTACTGAAACTGTCTTTACGTGTATTGTAAAGTCTCACAGATCAATGTTGAATAGAAAACCTCCATGAACAAGTAGACGTAAATTATATATGAACAGAGCAAGTGCATCTGTACATTGAAGCTTTTATTTAGAAATCTTTTAAGTGTACAAGTGTATAAAGGTAAGTATTTTTTTTAAAAACTAGTAACATCATGGAACAAAGAATGAAAGGGCTCACACATTTGAGAGAATGCAGCCAGACCAAACTGTTAATGAAATTTATTTTACAGCCGAACATCTGGAGGGAAGGCGAGGGAAAGACCAAAAAAGAGCCGGATAAATGTTGTTATAAAAATCTGCAATAGGATGTACAGATCCATCATCTAAGCGATCCGAAAAGCCCAAAACACAGAAAACCACAACACTGGACTACAACCTGGTTTCAGTGAGATCACAAAACCACAACACTGGACTACAACCTGGTTTCAGTGAGATCATAAAACCACAACACTGGACTACAACCTGGTTTCAGTGAGATCACAAAACCACAAACTACACCTGGACTACAACCTGGTTTCAGTGAGATCACAAAACCACAACACTGGACTACAACCTGGTTTCAGTGAGATCATAAAACCACAACACTGGACTACAACCTGGTTTCAGTGAGATCACAAAACCACAACACTGGACTACAACCTGGTTTCAGTGAGATCACAAAACCACAACACTGGACTACAACCTGGTATCAGTGAGTTCACAAAACCACAACACTGGACTACAACCTGGTATCAGTGAGATCGCAAAAGAAGAAGAAGTATCACCAAGCTGTATGAATGTAAATCTTTAACAAAATAATTAAGTATACCCTTGTATGTAAATGAATAATTTATAAAAGTTTTAATATTATGAAACAAAGCATTTGCAAAAGTTGTAAGTATAGCAAAAGTTGTAAGTTTAGCAGAAGTTGTAAGTAAAGCAGAAGTTGTAAGTATACCAATTGTTTAAGTACAGCAAAAGCTTAAAAATAGTGAATATTGTAAATAAAGCAAAAGTTATAAGTATATATAGCAATAGTTTTAAGTATAGCAAAGGTTATAAGTCGTTACTTACCAATGTTGTGAAAAAATAGTGATACATTTCAGAAATCATCTTCAGCTTCAGTGCCTGAGAACAGAAAGTAACAAAACAATGTTATTAAAATCTGACTGGACTTCCAATCAACTGAATAACTTAGTCATAAAACTCAATTTTAAAGTGATAACCACCTAAAGTTTTTAACAAAAACAATAATAACATAGCTAGGGTGGTGAGGTGCTAGCACACTTTATTGCTAAGCTGGTGTCATGTCTCTCTTACCTGTATTCACCAGTCACCACAATTCCCCAGTTACCTCTAATTCCTAGATACCTGAGTTCCCCAAGCTGTTACCTGTATTCACCAATCACCCACCAAGCCTCTTTGATTACCTATGTTGTCTTGTTACATTCCCTGTTACTCCAACTCCCCACTTACATGAGCTGTTGTCCGTATTCCCCAGTCACCCACAAAGCCTCTCTGATTACCTATATTGTCTTGTTACCCATATTCCCGGTTACCCCAATTCCAGTTACCTTGTGCCATTACTTCTATACCTCAAGTTACCTGTATTACAGGCTTCCCCTATTAATCATGGAGAACAGGACAAAAAAAAGTCAACAATAAAAACCAACGTATATCCAATCATAGAAGAATGACAGCCCAGCTAGGAGAAAAGCCACTTACAGCATGAAGAAATGGTTTGATAGTTTTGATGTTGCAGTCGATGATAAACTTGCCCTCTCCCCTGTCCTTGAGGTCCTTAAGCAGCACTAGGTAGTCGTTGTTGACCAGTTCCAGCTTGCGTATTGTTATCTGGGCCGGTGGCTCATTGGATGCCTTCAGAACCTCCTGTACACGAGTCAGACCTGGGGAAATGCAACAGACAAGTTACAACTATAACACATCAGGTAAAACAAGTTGTGATAGCATTAGAACAGACAAGCTACAATTGGAACATGTCAGATAAAACAACAAGTTGTGAGAGCATAAGAACACAAGCTAAAACTGAAACCCATCAGGTAAAAGAACAAGTTGTGACAGCATTAGAACATACAAGCTACAACTGGAACACATCAGGTAAAAGAACAAGTTGCGACAGCATTAGAACATACAAGCTACAACTGGAACACATCAGGTAAAACAACAAGTTGTGAGAGCATAAGAACACAAGCTACAACTGGAACACATCAGGTAAAAGAACAAGTTGTGACAGCATTAGAACATACAAGCTACAACTGGAACACATCAGGTAAAACAACAAGTTGTGAGAGCATAAGAACACAAGCTAAAACTGGAACACATCAGGGAAAACAATAAGTTGTGACAGCATTAGAACATACAAGCTACAACTGGAACACATCAGGTAAAACAACAAGTTGTGATAGAATTAGAACACACAATCTACAACTGGAACACATGAGGTAAACCAATAAGTTGTGATAGCATTAGAACATACAAGCTACAACTGGAACACATCAGGTAAAACAACAAGTTGTGATAGAATTAGAACATACAAGCTACAACTGGAACACATCAGGTAAAACAACAAGTTGTGATAGCATTAGAACATACAAGCTACAACTGGAACACATCAGGTAAAACAATAAGTTGTGACAGCATTAGAACATACAAGCTACAACTGGAACACATCAGGTAAAACAATAAGTTGTGATAGCATTAGAACATACAAGCTACAACTGGAACACATCAGGTAAAACAACAAGTTGTGATAGCATTAGAACATACAAGCTACAACTGGAACACATCAGGTAAAACAACAAGTTGTGAAAGCATTAGAATAGACAAGCTATTAATGAAATGCATCACTGAACATAATTATTATGTCTGAAAACTCCCCCCCATATTTGTCACTGTTGTATGTTCCATCAAGGGAGATGACTGGCAGTAGCTGACATTACGCATCCTCTGAGATAATGCAGCAAGAAATTATGAGAGTGGCCTCCCTTATAAAACTCAAGTCTTGTTTCTCTCCTGTACAACTGTGGCCACAGGCAAATTTTGTAATAACTTGACTGCTGAGGCAGAAGTTCTGAGATGAACAACAGACACAAGAATAGTGATTTTTGCTGATGCACTCTGGATAATAGCATCCCCGAACAACACTACATCAGGGAATTCAATGATATGGTTATCTCCCCCTGACATAATAAAGGGTTCCCTGAGTTCAGAGAGGAAATGGATACCAGAATATACAAAGTAGTAATATTCTCTTTTGTAAATGAACACAGCTTTTGTTTAGTGCACCATTCAATCCATACTTGAACATACATGATAAAGATTCTCTCTTGTATTTTCCTCTCTTTTAAATGACCGCACATTTTCTTTAGTGCACCCTTTAGTGAACAAAAGAGACAAACTGTGTTTTCCATGTACTATATATATAATTTTTTCCTTCTCTTTGTTCATAGGTAAGTTTAAGTGCTCACTGACTTTTTGTATCCCACCAGGAAATCAAACTGAGCGATAAACACCCAGTGACCCAAAGCACCACTTTTTAGATGAGCATTACCCGCGGGACAGGTCCCAAAAACCTGTTCAACCACTTGGTTATATTAGGGCCACCGGCAACAACCAGGCTGGGACTTCAGAATAACGAAAAATTCGTCCCACATGGGGATGGGGTTATATCAGTAACTAAGTGAGATTCTACCCCACCAGGACATCCACCAAGCTATAAACACACGGTGACACAAAGTGCCACCATGCGGATGAGGATCACCCTGGGAGATGTCCCAGAAACCCCGTTCAACCGTTAGGAAATAATAGGGCACCTACAGCTGGGGTCAGTCAGTCAAGTCAGTAACCAGTCCTTTGCAGAACATTGCTCCCATTACAACATTCCGGGAAACTTCTCAATCACAAGCCAGATGTCCGTTTTGGAGAACATCCACGACATCCAGCCCCCAACTTCTCTTTGGCCTTTCTCTTCCTCTCTTCCCAGGCATATGCCCCTCCATTATTGTTCATACTTAACTTTTGTGACGTTTCAAGTGACCAAAATATTTCAATTTTCTGTGTTTAATAGCCATCCTTCAATATTCAGTTCTTGAAGAATGGATGCATTTGTTTTTTTTTTTCTTTACACCCAAGATGGGGCTGCAGGACAATGAAAAATTGTGTTGTATTGAGTACTTTATGTAGCACTTGTAAACTGGAATTGATTGTTGGGAACATGCAGGTTACACCTGTGAGAGTGTCACAGGCAGAGGAGAGATACAAAGAAAAACAGGCAGAGGAGAGATACAAAGAAAGACAGGCAGAGGAGAGATACAAAGAAAGACAGGGAGAGGAGAAATACAAAGAAAGACAGGCAGAGGAGAGATACAAAGAAAGACAGGGAGAGGAGAGATACAAAGAAAGACAGGCAGAGGAGAGATACAAAGAAAGACAGTCAGGATGGATGTATATTCTGCATGCACTGTAAACAGAATACTACTGATTTATCATTCATTAGATCATGTAACTTTTACAAATGTAACTGAATTTTGAATAGAAATACACATATTTAAATACAAAAAAAAGTTTATCTTCCTTGTAAATTACCACCAGTTTTGTTTGGTGCACCATCCAATGGATACCAGAACATATATGACAGTGATTCTCTCCCTTGTAAATAACCAGCAGTTTTATTTAGAGCATCATCATGCAATGGATACTAGAACATGTATGAGTGATTCTCTCCCTTGTAAATAACCAGCAGCTGTATTTAGGACATCCTCTAATGGATACCAGAACATATATGACAGTGATTCTTTCCTTTGTAAATTACTACCAGTTTTGTTTGGTGCACCATCCAGTGGACACCAGAACATACCAGGCAGAGAATGATCAGCCAGGTTGGCTGCTAAGAATAGCAGAGACTTGTTTAAGAACTTGCTGCAGGACAACACTGGGAAAGGGGCCACATGCAGAATGACACCGTGTCATCAGTTTCAGAAGCAAGATCAGATCACAGTCTCTAACTATGAACAGAGATTTCAGATAGCCTCACTGGAGCAGTGCTTGTTTGTGTGTGGCAACAGTCACCGTGGCAACACAAGCTTGAAACTTTAGCTGCTGCTAATAGAATGTTGAGTATGACCAGCTGGTGACAAGTTAAAACAAATCTCTCCACTCCCTTGGAATTCACTGTTTGTATTCTCAAGTATGTCCACTAATATCAGCTTTCTGTCATCTACCTTTTCGGCTGTGCATTGACATAATGGGCATCAGTTGCCTTAATGTATTTTAGCATAGTAAGTGAAGGCACTTTTCCTACACCTTGGGCATATAGGGCTAGACCTAAATTGTATTCACCAACTGTCATGTGGTGGATGTGGACAGCATCAGCCAGCCACCTTTACTTCCCAGGACTTATCTGGTAGCCATTCAAGACTAAATCGACCTGGGGGCCAAGGTCATTTTTGAATACAGTCCAGCTCCAGTAGGACCTGAACCCACGACCCTCTGATCCACAGGCTAGCCACCACACCACAGTGGCTAGCCACTACACCATGGCGGCTAGCCACTACACCACGGTGGCTAGCCACTACACGACGGCGGCTCCATTGTTTTTTGTTTTTTTTTAATAATTACATTGAACTCAAGGGTGTCCCAAGGCTCTCCACTTCTATGATTGACTCATCATGTACACGGTAAACAAACTCTGGAACTTACCATCGTTGTTCTCATAGAGGATTGTGAACCGTCTCCACTGCCAGTGCCGAATCACATCTCTGTAAGCTGTACTCAATGTCAAATAGTGCGGGTACAAGCTGATAGAGAAGTAGTCCCTGGAATCACGCGGGTCCCAGCGCCACTGCAAGTGTGGGATCTCAAATGCCGTGCACATGGACTGGACATGCCCGGCTGCCAGGGAGGACACTGGGCCAAACATGGCTGCTATACCAATCTGTGTCATACGGCACACTGGCAAAGACAAGATGGCCACAGGTTAAACAACTGTTAACTCACATTTTTCCAACACCGAAGAGAAGTTCAACAGACGAAGGATAAATGTTGCTGAACACCTAAGCTTTGATTTTGGGAACTGCTCCGGAGGTTTCCTGGGCTCTATTATGGGAGAGAACATAAAACAGATCCCTAACATGCATATCGTAAAAGGTGATTAATTGGGGAGTTCCCAGTAAAACAGATCTGCATGACAGTTTGGATTAACAAACTTTAGAATAGGATAACAAACCACACAACTTTGTCCATAATTTAAAGATTCCCTGGCTCTATTATGCACTATGTTGTACATGGAAGCCTGAAGGTCAATGGTTTGCTAATGATGCCACTATGTTTGTACATGGTAAGTCTGAAGGTCAATGGTTTGCTAATGATGCACTATGTTGTACATGGAAGTCTGAAGGTCAATGGTTTGCTAATGATGCACTATGTTGTACATGGAAGCCTGAAGGTCAATGGTTTGCTAATGATGCTCTATGTTGTACATGGAAGCCTGAAGGTCAATGGTTTGCTAATGATGCACTATGTTGTACATGAAAGTCTGAAGGTCAATGGTTTGCTAATGATGCACTATGTTGTACATGGAAGCCAGCAGGTCAGTGGTTTGCTAATGATGCTCTATGTTGTACATGGAAGCATGAAGGTCAATGATTAGCTAATGATGCTCTATGTTGTACATGGACGCCAGCAGGTCAATGGTTTGCTAATGATGCACTATGTTGTACATGGAAGTCTGGAGGTCAATGGTTTGCTAACGATGCACTATGTTGTACATGGAAACCTGAAGGTCAATGGTTTGCTAATGATGCACTATGTTGTACATGGAAGCCAGCAGGTCAATGGTTTGCTAATGATGCACTATTTTGTACATGGAAGTCTGAAGGTCAATGGTTTGCTAACGATGCACTATGTTGTACATGGAAGCCTGAAGGTCAATGGTTAGCTAATGATGCTCTATGTTGTACATGGAAGCCTGAAGGTCAATGGTTTGCTAACGATGCACTATGTTGTACATGGAAGCCAGCAGGTGAATGGTTTGCTAATGATGCTCTATGGTGTACATTAAAGAAAGCAGATAGACCAGTCAACACTTACCCTTCCTCTGTGCCGTGAAACTGTCATGAGGCGGGACCGTTTCTCGGTCCACCAACACCAGTGTCTCCCGGATCAGGTCGTTATTGAGGTTCAAGTCTTCTACCGCCCATTCCAGAGCACGCCACTGACCTTCATACTCTGGTTCAAACAGAGCTCCTGGACCAGAACAAGACCAGGGGTCAGTCAAACTGAATTCAATCACCAACTTTAGAAAACGATCAGTGGCAAACACTAACATGTGATCAATCACTAAGTTAAGCTGAAATCAATCACAGACTTTAGAAACGGATCAATGGCAAACACTAACATGTGATCAATCACTAAGTTAAGCTGAAATCAATCACAGACTTTAATATGAGATGAGCGATTAGACAGTCAACTACACAAACACACTGTACAGTCAGATTTCTACAATGACACCAAAACACAATGAATGGTCAAGTTAACCACTAGCGTTCACACTGCGATAGCATCTGTGTTAAGGCAATGGCAAGGTTCTGCTAGCTAACTACTCACGCGATCTGATTCACATAATAAAACATGGTTTTTAAGAGTGAAACGTTAGACAGTTCTTAAACATCAGGAAAACTAGTGCAGTATTTAATTAAATGGAAAGAAGATAACACCACAAGTGTGAAATTACTCCTGACAATTCTTTACAATACCAGTCAATTCAACTAAAATCACAGTAAACACAGGACCGCTTGGTTTTCGCGCGTGCTGTAGGGCGATATTTTGCGGCGGAACGATATCATGATAGTGATAGTCATATGTGAATGTCGGGGACGAAAAGTAGTACATGCTAGGAACAAGAAGCAGTTTAGAAGATGACAAGTGACAGGAACAAGAAACAGTTTAGAAGATGACAAGTGACAGGAACAAGAAGCAGTTTAGAAGATGACAAGTGACAGGAAAAAGAAGCAGTTTAGAAAATGACAAGTGACCTATGTTCCAGCCACTGTGCTGAACCTCAGAAAGTAAAAGTAAAGGACCCTTGTAAACGCCTTGAGGTGTGTTGCACAAATATGGCTAGACCTCTTCTTTGTTAGATCAATCAGCAGTCAGTGGGTGGTGTGGTCTCAACATTTCAGCCGCCTTTACTTCCCAGCACTGTACTTAGGTACTCATTTAAAGCTTGCTCGACACAGGAGTCACAGTCATGTTTTTTAGGACTCCGGCTCCATTAGGACCTGAATCTCTGATCTTCCGATGCACAGACGAGCGTCTAGCCGCTAGACCACGGAGGATCCTTAACCCCAGAACAGTGAGTACTGAAGTGGCAGGTCGAACAACTTGTGATTGTGCTAAGTGGTCCCGATTCTTGGAGTGTTAACAAGCCAGGTTATGACCGAATGCTGCAGGGGTGTTGTTTCTAAGGCGCCTGTTGCTGACACACTTGACTGCCAGAAGATCTAACAGTGACTGTCCAAGCTTAACTATGGAGAGAATCACGTGAACCATCTTTACAGGAAAGATCAAGCCTGTCAAGTGAAGATAGTCAACCGCCAACATCGGCAACCTTACAATACTATAGCAACGGTAAACAAACATGTGACCACGGGAGAACACTCATAGTGGGTGGTCCAAGGCGCGTCCATGGACGTATCGACAAGTGAGAGAAACGAAAAACACGAGACAGGCGAAAGTATTACATATATACAATTTCCATACAAACTTATCATAATGGACTGTATTAAAGGACAGAATTAGTTAAGTGCTCAGATCTGCTCCTCCCCCTGTCTTCAGAGTGCAGCTCTCAGTTCACAAATGCGTTTTCTTTTCACAAACTCCTCCTGAATGTTCTTCAAACTAATTCACCGCTTTGGTACTAGCTGTCGTACAAGGGCGTTTATCAAGAAGAGCAAGGAGAACATAACTACTGTCAGAGAACAATAGTTGTCATGGTACATCTTCTGTCACTGTGTTCATTCTTGTCACACAATTGAAGATCACCATTTATCTCTGTTGTTCCAGCCGCCAGATGGCGATGTATGGCATGTATATTGAATGCCCTTCCCCCTTTAGATATTCAGGTCTGCACTTCATATCAAGCATAATTAAACGTGTGCTTGCTGTACAACCACCATAGATATACTTTTAAAAAACAAATCTCCTACGTCTCTTTCCTAATAAGCCTGCATACAAATCCCAGTGTGAGTCACACACCTCTGTACGATTCACATACTCTTGTATTACCTTTATTGTTTGTCCAAATTGCTGACAGTCAGTTTTAACTTTTTATTCATGCTGTGTTGACAGTTCTTGTTAGCCATTTGACACCAGTTGAATGTTTCATGTTAACTCCTTGTGTCTGCAGACGTCATCCAGTGATGAGATGTGTCCTTACCCAACTGAGATGTCTGACGTTTACAGAAGCTGCTGACAAAGTCTCAATGATTCAGTTTTTTGAAAGATTTACAGTCTGTAAAATAGACACAGTAGTCCTTGTCCATCCGTAGAAATCTGTCCATCAAAGGATCATAAATACATTCCTGGCTGGATTATTTACCACCGACGCAAGCTAATTACTAAAAATTTCCGGCCATGATTTTCTTGTGAAGGTTTTATTGTCGCGGCGGCCGGGTGACGAACTCCTTGTGGTCCGGGTTCACTCCCGGGGGTAGGCAGAAAAGCCACATTTCTCCCAGATTAACGGTACCTATAATGGAATCAATGCCGAAGGGTTGAGATATCCATAGTACCGAGGCAAAGAGTTTACAATTCATGGTTTCCGGATACGTAAAAAAAAAAATTGTTATCCTAATATTTTTCTAACACCGCATCGCCCTTACACACGCCCACATCAACTCTCTCCCTCTGTCTCTCTCTCCCACTTACACATCACACACACACACACACATCTTCCATATAGACTGCATTAATAATGATTGGCCTACTGAACAGTAGCCCATATAATGTAAAGCTGTGTCCATATAGCCACTGCATTAATAATGATTGGCCTACTGAACAGTAGCCCACACAAATAAAGTCTAAAGGAAACTTCGCCCACACAACTCTAGTCTAAAGGAGACAACGCCCACACAACTCTGGTCTAAAGGAAACTTCGCCCACACAACTCTGGTCTAAAGGAGACAACACTCACACAACTTTGGTCTAAAGGAGACTACACATACACAACTCTAGTCTAAAGGAGACTACACATACACAACTCTAGTCTAAAGGAGACTACACATACACAACTCTAGTCTAAAGGAGACTACACACACACAACTCTAGTCTAAAGGAGACTACACCCACACAACTCTAGTCTAAAGGAGACAACGCCCACACAACTCTGGTCTAAAGGAGACTACACCCACACAACTCTAGTCTAAAGGAGACTACACATACACAACTCTAGTCTAAAGGAGACTACACATACACAACTCTGGTCTAAAGGAGACTACACACACAACTCTGGTCTAAAGGAGACTACACATACACAACTCTAGTCTAAAGGAGACTACACATACACAACTCTGGTCTAAAGGAGACTACACATACACAACTCTGGTCTAAAGGAGACTACACATTCACAACTCTGGTCTAAAGGAGACTACACATACACAACTCTGGTCTAAAGGAGACTACACATACACAACTCTAGTCTAAAGGAGACACATACACATACACAACTCTAGTCTAAAAGGAGACTACACATACACAACTCTAGTCTAAAGGAGACACAACAACTCTAGTCTAAAGGAGACTACACATACACAACTCTAGTCTAAAGGAGACTACACATACACAACTCTAGTCTAAAGGAGACAACGCCCACACAACTCTAGTCTAAAGGAGACAACGCCCACACAACTCTAGTCTAAAGGAGACAACACCCACACAACTCTAGTCTAAAGGAGACTACACATACACAACTCTAGTCTAAAGGAGACTACACATACACAACTCTGGTCTAAAGGAGACTACACATACACAACTCTAGTCTAAAGGAGACTACACATACACAACTCTAGTCTAAAGGAGACTACACATACACAACTCTAGTCTAAAGGAGACTACACATACACAACTCTAGTCTAAAGGAGACTACACATACACAACTCTACACATACACAACTCTGGTCTAAAGGAGACTACACATACACAACTCTGGTCTAAAGGAGACTACACACACAACTCTGGTCTAAAGGAGACAACACATTTACAAACTCTAGTCTAAAGGAGACTCTACACATAAAGGAGACACACAACTCTAAAGTCTCTGGTCTAAAGGAGACTACACATACACAACTCTAGTCTAAAGGAGACTACACATACACAACTCTAGTCTAAAGGAGACTACACATACACAACTCTAGTCTAAAGGAGACTACACATACACAACTCTAGTCTAAAGGAGACTACACATACACAACTCTAGTCTAAAGGAGACTACACATACACAACTCTAGTCTAAAGGAGACAACGCCCACACAACTCTAGTCTACAACTCTAGTCTAAAGGAGACAACGCCCACACAACTCTAGTCTAAAGGAGACAACGCCCACACAACTCTAGTCTAAAGGAGACAACGCCCACACAACTCTAGTCTAAAGGAGACAACGCCCACACAACTCTAGTCTAAAGGAGACTACTACACAACTCTAGGAAAGGACACAGCGGAAACTACCTGTAGCGATTTTCTGAAGTATGTTCATGAGTGAAACGTGTACCGCATGTGTGCGCTTGTCTTGCAACTCAAGCGAGTGCTCTAGGCTCTTGTCTTGTAACTTATGCGAGTGCTCTAGGCTCTTGTCTTGTAACTTATGCGAGTGCTCTAGGCTCTTATCTTGTAACTTATGCGAGTGCTCTAGGCTCTTATCTTGTAACTTATGCGAGTGCTCTAGGCTCTTGTCTTGTAACTTATGCGAGTGCTCTAGGCTCTTATCTTGTAACTTATGCGAATGCTCTAGGCTCTTGTCTTGTAACTTATGCGAGTGCTCTAGGCTCTTGTCTTGTAACTTATGCGAATGCTCTAGGCTCTTGTCTTGTAACTTATGCGAATGCTCTAGGCCTGTTGTCTTGTAACTTATGCGAGTGCTCTAGGCTCTTGTCTTGTAACTTATGCGAGTGCTCTAGGCTCTTGTCTTGTAACTTATGCGAGTGCTCTAGGCTCTTGTCTTGTAACTTATGCGAGTGCTCTAGGCTCTTAT